CGGGGGGGGGGGGGTCTTCGACCTGAAAAATCAGGGGTTAGGATTTGCACCCGGTCGAAAGAAACCTTGCTATCGCAAGAGTAACTCCAGCTAGCTTCGCTAGCTTTCGTGATGAGCCTGGCCCTGGGCCTGGGTGCTACAATTGTGGACTAGCTGGAGCAACTCACGCTTCGTGAAACCTGTCCAACACGACCAAAGAAATTCCCCTCAAGAAAAAACAAAACAACAATAACAAAACACAACACATTCTTTTAGGCCTGAGAATGCTCCAGGATGCTGAACCCTTGGGATATCCCAGCCATAGGCCCCAGGATGCCCCTCGGCATCCACTGGGTGTAACCCGCAACGACGCCGACGGTGCCACAGAAAACACCGCTGGACCGAGCAGGACCCACAACCACCAGCCGGTAACCGAAGTGGACCACATTGGCCAATGGCAGCCTGAAATCCGAAGACCCATGTCCAGGGGTGGTTGCTCACATAGAAACATCATGAAACATCCTACCCTTCTTTGCCCCAGGAGGGGCAAACACATCATGGACACCACACACCCCATTTCACGGTCCCGGCCACTCCAGCGTGGTCGCTTGCGAGACGAAGCCTTCCAGCACACAAACCTTCGGGAGCGGTGTCGGCCTGTTTGGGGGGCGGGATTGGAGGGCATAGGGGGCGTAACACTCGATTATTATACATATGCATGTTCAGCAGAATGTGTACATATTGTACATATATATATATATGTGTGTGCGTCTGTATGTACAACATTGTATAACTATGATTAACTTTTCATCTGTATACAGTGCACACTACTGTGTACTATGATGCCAAGTTCAACTCACATGTTTGGGTTGAATTTTGTAGTGCGCAGTTCTACGTTCAACATAGTTCAACATACGACAAAAAGGATCCTTCACGCTGCTGCAGGGCAGGGTGCACCAAATGCAGGTCTGTGCGCCCGACATCATCTGAAACTTGAAGGCCCCACACTGTACCGCATTTTGCAAACAATTGCGGGAAACCATTTCCCCAAGCAGGTGAAACATAATGACTTGTAGCATCCGAGGCCATCTTTCTAATCCTAATAGCCCACACCACAAGTGGAGATTCGTTGACTCACGTGATTTGGGCCATTGGACTGCTCTGATCATGTTGCTCATGACAGGCGGAAAACCCCATGGGCATGGTGCCCTCGATTTGGAAGGCGTCGATCGGCTTGAAGTATGATCTGAGACACCGTGGCGGTGTTCGCATCCACTGCGCAAGCGGTGTGCCGGGCGATGGGGTCGGTGACGTAGGATTCCAGTTCAGAAGGGACTTCGCCGGTCCTGGTGCAGCTTCGTGGACACAAGGGGAACAAAAAAAATACGTAGTGCCCACACATATTCTTTCTTCCAAGGGGGTCAGCCTGATCCATGTCCCGCTTCGATGTTTCTTGGTGGCAGGGGCACATTCTGTTGCCGTGGTTGCTCTTTCCTTCTTTCTTTCTTTCCTTTCTTCCTTTTAGTTCTTTCTCCTGTTCAGTTTTGTTCTTTCTTTATCTGCCTTCTCTCTTTCTCTCGTTCTCTCTCTCTCTCTCTCAATCGCCCTGCGAAAGGATACCTGCCAAAGCTGCCAGCAGCATGCCCAGCCCGGAGTTGAGAGCTCAGTCACTCTCTGGGTTAAACTTCATTGATCTTCACCGATGATCAATAACTAGCTCAGCCCCCAGAAGGTCTTAATTGTCATTTCAGTCGATCTTCATTTCTCCATCTTTCTCCTTTTTCCGAGTATTGCCGCCGCGCCGAACTCTGGCGATGCGACGCCCAATTTCAAATCTAAGGCACTCGAACCCTAGGCCACAGCGGCTAAGACCCAGCAGTGATAGACCGAGTCGAAGGGCCGTTCTGGAACGGCTCGCCATGCGAACGAAGGTTTGGATGGGCAGATGTTGAGTCGAACAAATCACGTGTTGAGTCACGAAGCCTGGAAAGGGATCTTCTACAACATGAGACTGTTTTGGAGTCGTGGTGAATGTTGGGATCACTGAAACTCCCCGAAATATGATGTTGGAAGCATTTGGAAGCGCTGGTCTTTCTGTATCTTACATCCAGACCGAGGCATTGTCTTGTCTGCACGTTTAGCGACATGATGACAGAGGTTTCAAGGCTAAGTTGATGTGTGCTGTCGCTGTCCCGAAGTAAATAAAGCCGTCCGACGCTGGAAGGCTTTCATGGAGGGCTTCATGGATGCTAGGGAAAACTCTAGCTGACAGGCTTGGTCTTTGGATGTCTTGGGATTGATCTCTCAAAAGAACTCTATTCAGCTGCGGCGGCTGGCAGAATGGATCTGTGCCGCCGTGCGGCGGAATTCTTTAGAAAGAGACATTGTGCGAGCACCCACTTGACAAATGACACCTTCAAAACTTTGGATGCTCTTAGCAAAAATCCCGAATTAGCATGAATTAGCCAATTGTTTTCTTGCGTGCAGTTTGGAGGATTAGTCCTGGACACACATCACCAAAATCAGGCGCGGAAGGAACCGGGACTGTTGAACTGTTGGCAAAGGTCCTAGATCTCAAACACGATATCCCAGGCGCCATCAAGTTGTCCAAGCTGGTTGGCAGTGTAAACCACTACCCGATGTACATCTGAGGACGGCCTGTCGTTGTCCATCAATTGCGCAAGAACAAACGCACAAACACCCCATCTCCGAAGACTGTAGCTGAGGCACTTTGCTAGATTCACCTATAATAGTTTCCATGTGAGCTGCAAGTGGTCTTGCAGGTGAGTACATACTTTCATTTCAAACGCTCGAACTCGGCCCCTGCAGGACGTCCAAGAAACGGATGGTCCTGGACCCTGCTTCGGCAAGTCTCAGGCTTCAGCTTCCACATCTTCCACCCGCATACGGAAAATGCCCAAAACCTGGACCTGCTTGGGGGGCGCTCATGGAAGCTGGCGGATCAAACTGCGAAGGCCTAAGGGGGTTTTGTCCATCAACAGTCGACCTTCGTGTCCAAATGCTTTGTACCCCGGGAACTCTGAGCGCCCACACAGCGCACACCTCTGGATCCACCGGTGAGGCGTCCGACTTCTTCGCCTGGTCAAAGGGCACCGCTCAACGAGGTCCTTCTGCCAAGCTTGATAAAGTTTGGACGAACTCCGTTCAAGTCTTCCCTTCTGAAGACGGTTCCACATGAAGGACTTCGTTGTGTTAGAAGTGGATCAACAAATGGTTCGGTGACAATGATGTAGTATGATGTATGCTGTGTCTATATGAATATATATATATATATTTAGAATAACTGTCAAGCAGCAGCTTTCTTTTTGACCTTCTTATCGCGGAGAACCATATGTACATGAATTTTAACATGGACAAATGCCTGTACCCTCCTTGGGCCCGATCATCGCCTTTCGGTCCCACAAAATGTCCTTCATTTCGACTTCTGTGGTCCAAGATCTCTGTGTCTAGGTCCCAGAGGAAGAAGAATCAAAATAACCAAGATGCCACGGCCTAAAAGGAACAAACAATTGATCAATTGGCCCACGGCCGCTCGACTCTGTCTTCCGGGTCGCCCACCCGTCGAGAACGCTCCCTGCGTCCACCCAGGGTCTGTATTCAGGTCATGTCCTGCCTGGGTGCGGTCCTGACGCCGGGGACCCGGGAGGGTCAATCGGCACCGTGTCCAGATCACATGATCGCATCTTAAAGCACGAAGGACTGGTTGTTGGGTCGGCTCACTCATGTACTCCACGTGTCAAGGGTGTCAAAGGCATGTGAACGGTGGAATGGTGGGACTGATGCCAACGGACAATGGATGTGGGCCAAACACCTGCAGCTGCAGGTGCTGCTCATGATTTGGATTGCAGCACAATGATTTATATACAGATACATACAGTATTTGCATTAATTTGTTGTGGTTGTTCAACATCATGATTTTGATTGGAACCCAGTTCAGGCTTTTTCTCAAGTCCTTACAGCAGTAGCTTGTAGTCGGCAAATAGTTGACGCAATGGATTCACCAAATGGGTCTCAGTGAGCTTGGTGTGGACCACCGGCTCCGGGCCTGGTCCCGGGTGGTGAGGGACACTCCAGGAGCCAAAAGGAGCACATGTCCCTTTGGCATGGCCCTTCGGATCTTTTTGCACGACGTACTGTCGTGGTGACGTACTGTCCCATGTGGGCATGAAGTCTCGGACACTGTGGACGTGTTGCACATGGTGCCGAAAGGAAAGGATGTTCATGTTTGTGCCTTCAGGTGGTCGACCAGGCCTTTGAGTTTTGTGCCTTCCGGCAGTTTGGGATAGTTTGGTATCGGAGCCAGGCATTTGGACATCTCCATTCGAGGACAGTTGGACCGGACTTTGCTGTTCTTGCCTCAAAGCCATGCCCCTGCCAACCATCTAGCTTTGTGGAGCATTCTCAAGGCAGCCTTTCTACTGAGGCCATCAGTTGTGCTCCTTGAATGTGTGCGAGGAGCCTCCCGTTTGAGACAAAAGCAGCCAGCACTGTTGCAGAAGCTCACCAGAGCTGCTCTGGCTTGCGGACCGCAGCCGGGTTCAACTACCCTTTAGATTCAGGGCCTCAGAGCTTCAACCAATCCTCTACAACAAAGGTGCCTGGCCTTGAAAGCGTTGGCTTCCCGACCGGCAACCCAGTTCCAGTTCGTCCAACATAAGCTTCTGCGGCATACATCTAGAAGCATGCATCCCAGAAGCAGGTCACACAGGCTCACCGGAAGAAGGCCAACTGCCAATTGTCCATCTGCCCCTCTTCAGGCCATTCAGCTGAACACTCGTTGTCAATCCTCACTCACTGGACGATGCAGAGTTGACTCATGATGCCGCCTTGCTTTGCTTTGTGTCCAGTCTCTGTTCTCACCTCGTTCCCGCAAGAGAGAAGACCATTGGCCAAGTCAGTTGCAGGTTGGCCTGCTGCATGGTTTGCCTAAGTGGGATCGGGCTCCCACTCTTGTCCTGATCTTTCTTGTCCTGATCTTCGCGCTTGGAACTTGGAGCTCGACAAAATCAAAGCAGGTTCTCACTCACGTGAAGGTGCCTGGACCAGACCAGAGACAAAGAAATTAGGGTGATGACTCAGGCAGCAGTGGAACAGTCCCTGCAAAGCCAAACCCCACTGGGCCTGGTGCAAACCAATCTTTGACACCGTTCCTCGGCTTCTGGTCTTCAAGATTGCCCATCATCTCGGCCTTCCTTTTAGTTCATCGCCGATTCATCGCATTTCTTTTCCTCATCCGGTTGGGTCTTCTGCTGGATCTCGATGGGTGGATGATCATGAGGCTGTTAGCCAGGCTTCTTTGTCGCTTGCTTCGATTCGTTCTCTCAAAGGTGCTATCCACCTATCGGTGGTCTTTGAGTCCTTGAGTCCTTGACCCATGAGTTCAGCACGTTACAGCAGGGAACGGCTGACGATCTCAGATCTCCGGGCCCGCGACCCGGTGCCAGGGCGGGCGACGGACGTGTGGCTCCAGTTCTTCGGAACAACGAAGCAGGCCATTCGGGCACCTGTGAGTTGCCAAAGCGGAATGGCCAAGAATGAATAAACAAATGAATAAACTAACCACATTGATTTATATATACAAATTATATACTAATATAGGGCAATTATTATAGATATATCCAATGCCCCAGTAAGAACGGCAGTGGATGATGATTGTTAGTAATGTTGAATTAGCAGTAGTAAACCATGAATAATGATCAGCTTTGTTGGTCTGCCAGGATTTTGCAATATAATATATATATATGTATACTTTTAATTTAACCAACATCCAGACCCCAAAATAGATAAAAACACGTTGCGAATCAATTGCAAACATGAGACAACAATAATTAGTTTTTTCTCTCAGATACCAATTTGCCTTCAGAATGGTTCCTCTTTTACTTGCGTCTCAGAAATCTCAGGCAGACCTAAAAGAAAACCAGTGAGAAGCATCAATTCTCCTCCCTCCAGCCCTGCTGGCTTGTCCTTGCCTTGTGTTTTCCCATGTGCTTTTAATTTATCCTATCGTTGTCCTGATCCTGCTCCTGTTCCTTTTCTTTTTGTTCTTTTGTGGTATCTTTAGTATTTTTCTTTGCCGATCAGATTTCCAATGCCTTTGGCTAGCCAAAAACCTTAGGTTTCTTGATACAAACCCGATCAAACAAATAGAAACAAATATCTTCAAAGGGTACCCCTTTAGACTCCCACCCCCTGCAAATATAAACCAACATTCAATAATCAACGTGTATTACCCCTTTAATCTGTTAGTTAAAGCAAATGAAAGCAAAATGAAAGCAAATGGCCTGGAAGTTGAGATTGAGATGTTTGACCTCCAAAAAAAGTCATAGGGGGGAGGGGAGGGGGTGTCCTATTGCTAATTGAACATTAAAGGCCTTTCTCAAGAATAGTGATCATCTTGCACCGACCAACTGTAACTGGTAGTGGGACATGCCCTAGCTATATATTAAATATATATATATATGTACACATATAAGCCCAAACCCTGCAACTGATCGATGATGTCAAATGTGTACGTTTCATGAGTTTTCCACGCGTTTCTCCGCACTATCCTGGCCCTCAATCTGGATCATCTCACTTCACTGATCATTCTGGGACCATGGAAGTTGATCGCAAAAGCATCCCTACTATGCAATCTCCATCCAGCAGTCAGCTGCTTCCACTTTCTGCAGGGTTGATCCCCATGACTTCTATAAAATGGCCCAAAAACCCACCCCCGCCTCTCTCGAGGCAACGCCGACCACCATTACCAGGGTTTGGTGCTGAGGATCTGAAAGGATCTGCTTCCGTGTCCATGAAAGAAAGGAGACCACCCGTATCTCCCGCGGCACGAGCTGCGCTCTACTTCTCTGCGCTTCTTTCCGCCGACGGGACCGCGAGCTGATCCGCCAGCTGAACCTCCGCGGGCGGTGTTGAGGCTCCGGACAGTAGAATACAATATAAACATGCAATAAAAAATATATATATATATATAGTATGAATGTAAGTTATGTATGTACTGTTCATGTGTTTTTTTGACGTCGCGAAGATGTTTCGTGGAACAGGTTTTCTTGGCTACTCCAAGCAATTCCTTTCAGAATTCTTTCCAAGGCAGCCTGAAAGCTAGGACATGATCTCTGGTTGAGAAAGTCCCCTTCCTAGTTTCCTAGCTATGACTCTGTATAGTATAGGGTCCTTGATCTTTGGTAGTCACGAAGGGGACAAAGTCGCTGCACAAAGCACTGACCGGCAGCGTGTTTTGTGGTGTCCAATCAGGACTGGAGTGGGGAGATAGCGCCCAGTCCTAAGGGCACCCGAATTGGAGAATTCCATGCGGCTCATGCGCACTCCATGCAAACGTCACGGTCACATGGCTGGACTGCACCATTCGCCCAACCCGTCGCCAGCCCTCCAGCGGCCCATCCGTCGTCTTCTTCGGTGCGGACCAGCGTCTTCTCCACCGGACGTCCGCGCTGGGCGCTTGGCATCTGCACCGGTTCGCCACAGCGGAAGCAGTCGCACTCAGCTGGGCTTGGTCTGCTTCAAGAGCTCGGCCTTGCGGACCTGTAAGTCGAAACGACTGGAGTAAGGAGTGACGTGCAATGGTGTGTCCAATTGAACACCCATCAAGTTGAGTGGAGCACGTGAACTTGAAGACGGGGTGTTCCAAACTTGGAGACCCAAAAGTCGGCTGGAAGTTGACATGGATGGTGGTGAGATCCCGAAACGTCTCTGACGAAGTCTTGGGAATACTTGGCCATATTTGGCCTCACCCTCTAACAAAAAAATGCAAGAACACCCGTTTGATGGTGTTTTGAAGTGTTGAACATCTACATTCCCAAGCGTGTGCGTTGATCTTCGTGGCCTTTGTAGCAGTGGATGATTGCCCTCAGAGCGGAACAACGCAATATGGGTTTATCATGCCATTTTGGTGGCATTAAGGACACTTCCACTTCCCGACGGAGAGCATTCCGGGACTAGTAGCGTCTTTGCTCCTAGTAGCGATGCCCTTTGTTCCTAGTAGCGTCATTCCTCCTATTAGACATGCCAGGAGCTACTAGTAGCTTCTTGCTCCTAGTAGCAATGCCCTTTGTTTCTAGTAGCGTCCTTCCGCCCAGTAGTAATGCCAGGAGCTACTAGTAGCTTCTAGCTCCTAGTAGCGATGCCCTCTGTTCCTAGTAGCGTCCCTCCTCCCAGTAGCAATGCCAGGAGCTACTAGTAGCTTCTTGCTCCTAGTAGCGATGCCCTTTGTTCCTAGTAGCGTCCTTCCTCCTAGTAATGCCAGGAGCTACTAGTAGTAGCTTCTTGCTCCTAGTACCGATGCCCTTTGTCCCTAGTAGCGTCCTTCCTCCCAGTAGTAATGCCAGGAGCTACTAGTAGCTTCTTGCTCCTAGTAGCGATGCCATTTGTTCCTAGTAGCGTCCTTCCTCCTAGTAATGCCAGGAGATATTAGTAGCTTCTTGCTCCCAGTAGCGATGCCATTTTTTCCTGGTAGCGTCCTTCCTCCTAGTAGTAATGCCAGGAGATACTAGTAGCTTCTTGCTCCTAGTAGCGATGCCCTTTTTTCCTGGTAGCGTCCTTCCTCCTAGTAGCAATGCCAGGAGATACTAGTAGCTTCTTGCTCCTAGTAGCGATGCCCTTTGTTCCTGGTAGCGTCCTTCCTCCTAGTAGTAGTGCCAGGAGCTACTAGTAGCTTCTTGCTCCTAGTAGCGATGCCATTTTTTCC